CGCTGGCGGCGCTGGGCGGGCGCGGCGCGGGGGCCGGGGGGGCGGCGCGCGCGCTCGCCGAGCTGGGCGACCGCACCGTTAACATGAACCGAACCCACGGGACCATTCTGCAGGTAACCCTACTTAAATATTCTAGAGATCATTTATTGAAGGCAATGAGTTATGTGGGTAAATCCTAAAGCTATGTTTCACGATTTTATACAATTTTCCTATCGCAGTGCACTTTCACAAACTAAACGCCTAAACTACTATTGTTACACGTTCAAGAACCACGAGAAGTAGTAAATTGGCAAAACATATCGAGTCACACGACATCACTCTTTATGTGCCCGCTGAGATATCTTATTAGAATTTAATTTTCACAACGTCACATACAAAAAAGCATGGTTTTTTTATAGGATTTTATGACCTGGTAACTAAGACCTTTAGGTCAAGTCTTATTTCGTTTTTAATTTTAATTAAAACTTTTTCTTGGGAACGATTAAGACACTTTTTTATAGTAGTTTTTTTCTATATTTTTTCCAGTTGATAACTATATTTGAAACGAAACCAGATAAGTTACTGAACAGTGAGGCCACTAAAGAATTGTCTGGCTCCTTGACCGCCTCCCTGTGGGTGCTGCGCCAGGCCGTGGGCTCACCGGCGCCGTGCTACGTGGTCGCGGACGACTACACGAAACTCATCAACAGGATCGTGATGAAGTACGTGGGCGGCCTGGTTATTTGTGATACTGCTGCGGTTACATCTCTTTTTGTATCACCTTCTGAAACGTGACGTCAGCTACCAATCTCGACGCATAGGATCGAAGTTACACTTATTGGAATACTAGTTACGCTACCGCTCAATACTAAAGATACAATTTCCCCAGTAATAAGCAGTTCGGCTTAAATTTTTTTTTTATTGCTTGTAGGTTGGTGGACGTGTTCACGGCCCACCTGATGTTAGGTGGTTACCGAAACCCATTAGACATTTACAACGTAAATGCCGCCACCTACCTCGAGATATGAGTTGTAAGGTCTCAGAAATCCGACTCGTGCGTATTACCACTAGGGAACAGCTGATCCAGGGTGGTTGGTCGTGTCCCGTGGCTACAGCTCGCTCCTCACTCGTTCGCTTCCATTGAAACTGTGTTATCCCGGAGAACTATTATTATTTCATTCGATAATTTCAGCGTTTTTTTTTTTTCCAGCTTCCCTTCTCTTTTAGACGACGCAACAGTAACCGTTATAATGGATCTGTTATCGAAATTAATATTCGACAAAAACATATCGAAAATCACATTTGGCCGCGAGGTGTGTCTCGCCAACGCTACGTATTTACACTTTGTTCTACTAAATATTTTTGAAACAGATTTAATAGTAGATTTCGTTTTCAAAACCTTGCAACACCCCGACTACGAAGTGCACATAAGCGTTCTAGACTATATTTTGATACTGCTAAACGATCTGGAAATCGATAATGACTTTCATGAGAATTTATATAAAATCAAGTGTGATGAGACTTTAAACGCTTTAAGACAAAACGAAGGATACAAAGATTTATTGTGTAGGGTTTATGAGAACACTGAATATTTGGAATGCAAGCAAAAGTGTCTTAAGATACTGATTTTAGAGAGGGACACTCAATTGTACGTAATTAGGGGGAAAATTAAAGAAAACCTCGAAGTTAACGATAGATTAATTGTCGATGCGCTGATGAAATGCATCCAAGATGAACATGAGAACTTCAGTCATTTGTACATGAAGAGCTTAGTTGATTACGTGACGAAGAATCTAGAGACGATGTCTTCGGATTTGGTTTTAGATGTCATCAGAGATTTATTCTCGTACAGCACCGCAGATAATAGCGACGCCGTCAGAGAAGTTGTCGTTGAATTTATGGAGGGAAACTTCGGGAGATTACTGAAGTCTGATCTTCAAGGATTGGATGAGGCGGAAAAGTGTATGTATCGTTTTGATTACCTAATTTATTATTATTTATTTATTTATGTACACACAAAAAAGAAGACATAGTACAGAGTAATAGGAAAATTATGTACAAAGGCACTGCTTATTCCTTTAAGAAATCTCTTCCAGCAGACCTGCGAGAGGATTATGAGAATAATAATTAAAAGTGATGAGTGTGTGTAGAACAGCTAAAATAACAAATACAACATCAGAATTATAGTAATGCACATACACATAGCAAATAATGTTAAACTTGAATACAAAATATTATAAGTAACACAGTATATACGCAGATTATAGAACAATGATCATTCGGTTGATTAGAGATAGAATTGTTTAATTTGATTTGTGTGATTGAAATTTCAGCCAAGATTACATCAGGTTTGTGTAGAGTATATCTATACTCTGGTACTGTCATGTGTGAGTGATGCCATAACAATTATGCCAACAACGGCCGTTGTCGCGATGTTAGAAAATATAACAACAATAATATCTAAGAAATCACAGATCCTGTGATATGCTCATTCTTCCTTTGTCGTATCACTCTTGTCAGAGCGGTCGTGGTTGTCATTCAGTATATTTGCTGTGAGCAGATGTTATATCCCTCATGAGTAATCTCCATTTTTCCGATATGCTATTACTGTTTTTTTTTGGAATAAATAACGTTTTTATCAATTATTTTTACAGTCGAATACCTGGCAACACTCCTTTGTACTGCACTGGTAACGTTAGAGGACGACAGCGACACACTGCGACAGAGGACGGCCAACTTGTTGCTTCCCGAGCTGAATGCGCCGTCGAATGTAATGCCGAGCAAATGCGCGGAACTGTTCAGAGATTTCATTGGGAGCTTTAGTGACTGCGTGCCCCTGTACGTCCTGCTCGCTCTGTTGGACTTCAACTCGGAAGTGTGTCTCACCGACGAAGGAAATGATGAGGTACTTTTTTTTATTACTTAGATGGGTGGACGAGCTCACAGCCCACCTGGTGTTATGTGGTTAGTAGAGCCCATAGACATCTACAACGCAACTACGTCACCCACCTTGAGATATAAGTTCTAAGGTCTCAAGTATAGTTACAACGGCTGCCCCACCCTTCAAACCGAAACGCATTACTGCTTCACGGCAGAAATAGGCAGGATGGTGGCACCTACCCGGGCGAACTCACAAAAGGTCCTGCCACCAGTACTTCTTACGAGTAGATTTTAGCAAGAATTGATGGATTCCATCTGGTTTGGAATTAGTATCGTTACTTTCTTCTGCTAACCTGGAGTAATATTAAAGAGCAAGCACAAGACAAGTTGAAGTGGAGGCAACTTGTGAGGGCCCTATGTACCAGCAGTACCCTAGGGCTACTTTTCAAATGAATTCCTGTAGATGCTTCATGAGTACTTATAATACTTTACTACACTATAATAATATATCGACTTGGCTCTGCCTCTGGCATTGCTGAAGTCCATGGACGACCGTAACCACTCACCATCAGGTGGGCCGTAAGCTCGTCTGCCTACAAGGGCAATAAAAATAATAATAATAGTCTCTGTCTTCAGATGATGTTTGAAAAAATCTAACTGTACCAGCAGCCGTCACCCAATGCCAGTTGTTTTCTATTAAGTGGGCCGAAATCGGGTCCGCCATTGAGTATTAATAAAATATTAATAAAGTTGTATTTTTTAGTGTCGAGTTTTCGATCAAAATGAGAGGTACAATATATTCTTGGAAGAAACGATATGGACCAGTGAGTGCGCCGATAGAATCGCGCGGCGGTGCTCGGGGAAGCGCGACGTTCTGAATCATGTTCTCGATATTATCGAGAATCCAGTCTACAAAGGAACATTCGATAAATTAGCTAGCAACAATATCGATTTTTTAAAGAAATCGATAGTAGGGGACTGCGATGGCGACGGAACAGAAATTATAAATCCTAAAATTAAGATCTTTGTAAATAAACTAAAGCATTCTTCAATATAACGTTCAATGTAATATAAATCACAATTGGGAAAATATATTAAAGAATAAATTAATTTGGAAACGAAATTTGTTTTTTTAAAGTAAATCAAATACATAATTTCTTTTGTCATGTATATTTTATTTACAATCAACAAATTTGAATTTCGTTTGTAACAAAAAAATTACAGACAGTTGAACAATTAAATAAATAAAATGGTAGATTTACAATGTTAATGTACAAACAAATAATTTCTAAACAAATTTTTACAGCAGCTTGGATGGGTCATTGCAAAATTCACTTGATAATTTCGCCAGTATCATTTTGGTTTCTTTTCCCTAGCGCACGTCGGCAAACTAGTCTCAGTTCGATATCGCAGCATTCACCATCAACAAAACATTGTAGACCGCGGCCACCGAGTATTCGTGAACATATTATGTGTAATAACATATCGACGGCAACAATCTCGAACTTATCACCGCTGCTTTGATTAGAAGCCTTTTTTATTGCATAGATGGGTGCACGAGCTCAGAGCCCACCTGGTGTTAAGTGGTTACCGGAGCCCATAGACATCTATAACGTAAATGCCGGCACCCACCTTGAGATATGAGTTCTAAGGTATCTGTATAGATACAACGGCTGCCCCACCCTTCAAACCGAAACGCATTACTGCTGCACGGCTGAAATAAGCAGGGTGGTGGTACCTACCCGTGGGGACTCGCAAGACTTCCTACCATCAATAAAGCCTGTCATTGCTGTACTAAGTATACAGTGCAGCAGTGAAATCTTAGCATAAATCATTTCCGACCCTTTGTTTTAGAAGTGCACATACATAATATTTAATGTAAATAGCTGTAACACGTTCTGTCCATGGACAAAAAATAATGCGGATTTCACCTCATCTAGATACATAAGAGCGAAAATTCAATTGTCTTATAATAATGGCAATTCTAAACTTGAAATAGAAAATCCAGATTCTTCGAAGCAAACATACTATAGTAGAATTATTTTGTCCGTGCAGTTTGGGTCATAAATAATCGGAGCGGTGAAGCGAGTATTTCGCTCTCTCTTCCACTCACGAGCCTTATGGACGGGCATAGTGATGCGCATTATTGTTGTCGATAAGCGTTATCCATAGTGTATTTAGTTTTGTCATTTTGTGGGTTAGTGATAAAATGAAAGAAAAAATCACTAATCGAACACTTACACCTCATATCGCCGCAGCAAGTTAACGAAAATGACAGAAATTAACATTTGTAACTTTTCGGGATCTATTCTCATTTCAGTGAAAATTTTTAACACACTAGATAATAACACGTGCTTGTGCTGGTATATTTTTGCCAACAAGCAAAATATTTGAATAAATTCTGCCGTTTTGATACAAAATAAAGGAGTAGCCATTGTGTCACTAAAGAAATTCAGAGAGCGAATGCACAAAATCACATTTCTCTTCGACATATTTATGTACTATAATTTGCAGGTAGGTACAGCAAATGACTCCTAACATAACAATGTCTTCGTCACCACCTTTCATATACCGCCCCGTCGCCGTATACCTGCCTGCGATGACTCATTTTTTTTTATCGATAATGGCGTTGCGCCCGCGCAACATGCTCACCGCCCTAGCCGGGCTATGTTTTATGACCCAAACTGCACAAACAAAAGAATTCTACTATAGCACTTTAATAGTGAGCCGTGTAAGCTCATAAATGGATCATATCAACTTATTACTATAACTGAAACAATTATTAGCACTGCAAGTCCTAACCTAAACATATAACATACTTATTAACTCCAATATAAAGGTAACAATTTTTCGTTTGCGTTTCTTAAGATAAAAAATACAATCACAAAATCAATTCGAGTGATGACTTAATATATCCTTGCTGGTCCCAATCAGCTTGCAAATTTTCAAAAATTAAATTAGTGTAACATGATACACAACTAGAATGTGTTTTTAAACGCACACACATATTTACTAAAGTCACTTTAATGAAATCCAGTCTCATATAATTTTATCCCTACGTATCCTATAAACTTCACTAGCAACCTGCGTGTTCTTGAACTTAATTTTCTCCTTTGGTTTATTATCAACTTGAGCGAGCACCTGTTTCATTTCACTATTTCTTTTCGCATTCACTTTCTCAATTTTGTCGTCATCATTGTTGAATAAATCCTTCACGGAGACAAGCCGGTGTGAATTTCCTACTTTCAGCAGATTTTTTAGGCCTCTGGTGCTTTTTCTCTCAATAAGGCCCAATATGCCCCACCCGTCAGTTTTCTTACCATCCAAACCTGCATCTAACAGCCACGCTGCGTTGCGGACCTCTAGTTTCAACCTCTCGCACTCCTCATAACTCACATTTCTGCTAACATTCAAGGCTTGTTCTAAAGGATTCACTATGTACAATGGTAGAGTGTTTGGCTTCCGTATAGCCACCCCCTCGTTAATCGATATAGCTTTGTCATGAAAGTCGAATTGAGCGTAAAATTCGAAAAACTGTAGCAGTAATGTTTCTAGATTAGCTTTATTCTGTCCGTATGTGTCTGTTGGCAATTTATTCATATCTCTCAGGAATGTACAGTTTAGATTCTCTTCTGCTAATCTAACATCTTCTTTTCCTGAAAATAAGAAAATGATTTTGTTTTATTACAGTTAACTAGCTGACCCGGCAAATTTCGTAGTGCTTCAATCAATAAATAAAAGACCTAAACTTTTGTATAAAATAAACTTAAAACAAACGAAAGGAATCCATCCGACAGGGGACATATCAAAAGAAAAAACAAAATTGTTTGTTTTTATATAATTCCGAGCATTTTCATATTTATTCGCTTTTTAAACCTTCTCTGGACTTCCATAAATAATTCAAGACCAAAATTAGCCAAATCGGTCCAGCCGTTCTCGAGTTTTAGCGAGACTAACGAACAGCAATTCATTTTTAAATGTATAGATTGAATTACAAGCATAAATACAAGTGTTTGGTAGCATTACGGGAAAGTGATGTGTACGTATTTCTCTGATTACAAAAAGGAGAATAAGTACCAAACTACAAAAGTAAACAACAATAAACCTATTATGCATACACTTCGATTTTATTTATTACATCAATGATATTGATAGCTATGAGAGCAAAATGCCTATATGGTTTTCAAAGGCCTTAAGATATTCCCTGATTTTTTCTTTTTAACTGTTAAGACATCATTCACATTACAGAGGTTTTATGACTTAAAAAAAATGTGAGCCGTCACGGGACGCCTAGCAGATGTGAAACATCGACATTATTTTGTAAAAGTAATATGCAGAAAAGAACAGATTGTAATAGGAACTAAATATGTCCTAATGATGAAAAAAAATATTACGAAAAAATAATTTGTTTTTAAGTAAAACACAGGTTATGTGTACTGTAGTAAGCAACACTGTATACACTACGGAGTATACACTATAGGTATCCGAGCTCAGTGTAGCGAGAGAGATGGCTTAACGCCGGATCGAGTGGGAGAGAATCGCACAGTCAATTGCGCATGGCGACGCTTCGCCACACCGTACACACTATATAAAATATATACCATCATATAGCGTGGCGACGCATGCCGTGGCGACGCGTTTTCGAAACCAGAAATCGGTTTTACGTGCGGCTATAGATGTTTCACATCAAAAAGGAAAAAGAATAAGCTATAAATCATTTATCCAAAAACCAATTTAATTACATACCAGCATATTGAACAAGAGTTTTCAATGATGGTAGAACACATCCATCCTTGCCTTTCTGTTGGAGAAAGAACAGTACCATCAAAGTCAGTGGGAAGTTTGTGATCCACCGCCCAGGGTGTTGGTTGGTGAGGCCCACTGTTTGAGCCCATCGACGGACTACAAATGTTAGCGGTCGAACCCTGGGGTCCAGAGAACCGTAGAGCCAAAGCAATTCTGACATGTATACTCCAGACCTGAAAAAAATACAGTTAATAACTCAGAAATTGACTATAAATATCGGTTCCAGAGTTACTACTCCATTACTCTTCCATTGCCGGAGAAATACTAAATGTTTTTACTAACTATGGTTCTGCAAGAAATCCATAGACTGACATGCTGAATCACTTGCCAAACACTAGTGAAAATGTTAGTAGAATTTGTACTAATACAAAATTAAAAAATCCATTAAAGTGAAAGAAAGCAATTGATATGGCAAAATATCAAAAGCATGCTAATTGTTAAAAAGTTGTTACTTTTAATAGTGTCTGTAAACAACCTGCACTTCCAAGTAATAAATATTTGTTATAATACTTACATATTATTATAACAAAGATCGCAATCAACATCAGTGAATTCATGGGCATATTTTACGATGGGGACTCTTGCATGCAGTATCCTCTGTACTCTAGTAGCACCAGGCACTCTTAGTTCTAACAATTCTCCAACTAGCTCCATGTGTCGCTGCCAAGGACTGCGACCACCTTCGCACTTCTTCTCTTGATATACCAATCTCTTTGATGAGTCACACTAGAAGATTTTCTTTTCGTTAAAATATGTTTCAATATCATACAAGACATTCTACAAGTCAAAGACCTAATTAAAAATTATAATTTTATATGATTGAAATTGTTTAGTTTTTTTTTTATTGCCTTTGTAGGCATACGGCCCACCCGATGGATGATAAGCTCACGGACGCCAGCAATGATAGGGGCAGAGCCAAGCCGCTGCCTACCATAAAGTACTCTCGTAATTTTGCAGTTTTTGGATTACTTTGCTTTTTTTTGTACTCGAATAAATCAAATGAGAAACAAAAGTGTCAATGTTTTAAGAGGTTTTTTTTTGCTAGTAATGCAGACAGATCTGCCTGTGTTTTAAAATTTAATATGGGTGAAGAGTGTATGAAAACATGAGTTGGACTGAATTGTATATATTATATTTATAAATACATTCGGCGTTCCAACTTAAGGGGAATGTAGGGTATGTGAGACTTGACCATCTGCAAACATGCATCCTGCACTTATAATCAAAGCACTTGTTTCTTTTTGAATGCTAGTGGTGCATTAAGATTTGTATCAAGATGAAACTTATATAGAAGATAATATCCTATATTATTTTATTTCATTTAAATCATGAATGCCAAACGGTACTTAATATCGTTAGAGGTGAAAACTTCTGAAGGTGTGCCAAGTATAAAGTATCAAGGTAAATCTGCAAAATGATGTACACAACAAATCTTAACACTTTGCAGCATAAAAAATGTGTTTACGTATGCAATGTATCGACGCTTGAAAGGCAAACGCGACTAAGCGACAATGCGTGAACTTTACAGTAGACTAATTTAAATTTGAAATACCTGAAAAAAATTCTATTTTAACAAATCTAGCTGTAGGATTTAAATGCATTGAATATGGTTATTGCCTATCATTTATGTACAAAGCAGTCATTGTCGCTTAGTCACGTTTGCCTTTCAAGTGTCGATATTATTATGCAAACTTTAAATTGTCAAACAGGTTCAGTTGAACATTATGGTAGTTATTGGCACTTCTATGAGTTTCTATCAGTCATTAATGCCACAAATACCAGGGTTTGTTTTAATGACTTTAGTGTTCTTGTGTCAGAAATATACAAGTTCACCTATCTTTGTATTCGGTTATGTTTTCCTTCTACCTACAATAGTTTGACTATATAATGAACATTAAGCTATATCACCAGATTGCAGTTTCAAGAGATCTCAAATCTAGTCCTAGTGTTCTCATATTTAGTTTTGCAATAATTACCATTTCTTCATTCAGGATATTGGTAAGCACCAAGTCTAAGTCACAGCCCATCTTACCAAAACCATTCACAGATGAGCCAAATGGTCTCACAACTATATTGGCATACAGACTTTCAAATATCCTTTCTATCTGAAAAAATTATAGTATATGTAATTAGCAACAAAAAGACACAGATAACCTTTTATATTACAAGTGTCAAACAGGTTTTATACTATTAGTAACTTAAGAAACTGTTTATTAAAACATTTTTTTAAAGGAGTCATATAACTACTTGAATTTTGGAAATTGATAACTTTAAACTTTTTTCTCTATAAATTATTTTAAAATTAATTATACATATAATTGAATAATATGTAATCAGTGAATAATAATGTTAGCAGAAGACATAACATTAAATAAAGTAAATATAAATTAGAATTGGAAATTTAATTAATTTAACACACCTGCCTTGCTACCATATACCTCAATCTCACACCTAGATCATTCAAAGCTGTCCTATCGTGCATCTGTTGAATTTGTTCTGACACATCCTCACAATTTGCTAACTCTTCAATTAAGTTATCTTCATCGATTGAATTGCAACCTTTTGTCGTCATGAGTTGTGATTTAGGAATCTGGAATGCTTCTTTCTTTCCTGAGACCGCTCTGAACCATAGAAATGGTGAATGTAAAGCCATAACGTCAACATCTTTTTGATGTGAGCTACAGGAGTGTATGACCTTCTTACTTTCTTCTTCAGTTTTGAACTCGATGAGCATAAAATGCTGAAAATTATTTTATTTTGAGAACATTATAAGAACTATATTTTAAGCATATTTATAGCTTTGGAAATTATTGGTAGTTTTTTAGTAACTTTTAATTTACTTAATAGTAAATACCTCGTCTCCAGAATTTTTGTAATGATGTATACCATTGACGGAAGCATATTTAGAACAATATCCGTACAATTCATTAAAAGATGCTTCTGAATTGACTTGAACAACTAGACTTCGTTTTGCTTCAGCCCTTCTCTGCGCGACGACTTCATCAAATGATAAAAACCTCCTTGAAATATCTAAAATAAACACATAACCTAGAAATAACCTTCATTACTCTATTTCAAATATTGCGCCCTTCGAATACCTGAAAATTTTCTTTTTGAGAAACATTTGCAGATTCTTGTAGATTTGCTGATTATTTGTCTAAATGAATAAGGTTTTCCAGTATTTATTATACTTTGAAATAACACAGACATTTTTCAAAGTCCACTTGTCAATTTGAAATAATACGTTCAAAAATAATAAAAATCGTCTTTATTTTGCCTTCGGTAGCTGATTAATATTACACACAAAGTGTATTTATTATCTATGCTATTAAATATAATTTATTTTCCCGGTTGGATTAGGCCAAATACATTGCAATGTGTTTTAAATAAATATCATTGAGAGCAAGAGATTGGGAAGAGGCTTTAATTAACTGTTTATTGAAAGAAATTTACATGGCATATTACAAAAAAAATTAAAAACGAAGTGTTGAAAGATACAACTGAAAACTGAAATTCAGCGATTTATTAACGATTTATTATTAAACAAAGTGTTGATATTTCGATCAATCGTGAAATTTTATTTTTGTAGGACGGCCGACGCGGACGGGTGAGTTTGTACCGCTGTTACCACTACAAGTTCAGTCGTTATGTTTTGTTACATATTTCGTTTAAAGTTACAACTTTGGCTATCTATTGAAAGTATTTATTTATGATAGTTACCATCTTGCACTACCAAATTTTCATTGCATGTAAGAACATTTTTTAAATGCTGTTATTATATTTAATGAACATGTAACCTTTGCCTATACGTCCCTGCGGAAATAAAAAAATACGGTTTTTGCTCATGAACAAAAATAGGTGAATGAAGATAGCCCCTCAAAAAAAATTTTTTTCCTATTTTATACTTATTTTCTATTAATTCGTTTGTTCATCATTTGTTCATGATTGTTCACTGTTAATAACTGTTTGTTCTGCAGTTATTTATTTAAAAAAAATATTTAAAAATATACCTACAAGTTAGCCCCTCTAATGCAATTTTTAATATTTTTTCATCCTTAATGACTCGTAAATATTCATTTTCGATTGTTCTTATATAAAACACGCTTGTTCTCTTTCAAAATTACTCGTTTTTTGTTTAATTTACTATTTTTATTAGTTGAATAAATGTATGCAAAATATGTGTACTGCGCATGCGTCAACTATAATGCCTAAACATTCTACGCGGTTTTAATCGTGAAAAAAAAAACAAATATAAATCCTGAAGGAGCAATTAATTGGTATACAGTTAAATTAAAAAAATTAAAAAATAAATAAAGGAAATAATGTGCATTGGCGTTAAGTTAGACCAAATACATTTTTTCCATCCTCTTACCTATCGTATTAAAATGTTATTTTACTAATGTTAGGAATATAATTTCGACTGTGTAAAAAAGTTATTATAATGTATACCTGTATTATCTCTTGAAAGATAAATAATGAACATATTTACTTATTTGTTTATATTACTTAAGTGAACTCCCTATCTTTTTTATACCTTCATAACGATAACATTTAAACCCGAAGAAACACTAAATAGACAAAATAAAACAAATGAGTCGTCTATTATCAAAGGCGGCAATCTGACTTTTGGACAATGATTGGTAAATCAGAAAAACGAATTATTGACTTTGTATTCCATTGGCAGTCACAAAACTCTTCGGAACGACATCTTAGATAAATAACAGGTTAACTATTAACCTTTATTTAATGCAGGTTTTGAACCGTATTCTTTGAAGGAGACGATTATATTCAAATAAATCTGTATTGACATATCAATAAA